CTTCAGCAACTCAGGATCCCTGTTGGTGCACTCCAGCATGTCCTGTGTAACCTCAAGGCTGAGTTGTTGCTGCTTCGGCACAAATTTTGCCACCACTATTTGCATTCCCAAATCCTCAGTTTAAATTGTGTTTTTGGAACCTCTGCTGATCCCAACCTCATCACCAACATCCTGGACAGTCAAATGATGGTCCTCCATGATCTCTGCCCCCACTTTACCAATGACATCAGCATTTCAGCTTGTTGATGGTCTCCCGGAACCCTTGTCACTGTCTGCCAACATGTGGCCATTTTTAAAACGGTTGAGCCACTCTTTAATTTGAGTGACCGCTGTTGCATCATCGCTGAAAGCCTGATGAACTTTGCGTATTGTTTCCGCTTGGGTATCCCCAAGTTTCTGACAAAACTTGATGCGGCATCACTGCTCCAAGCGTTCTGTCATCTTGAGCGAAATGAGAATGCGACAAATACGTGTTACACCGCTTTGCTATCTGGCAGCAGCAGACACTTCCGGTGGTGCTGTGAAGCAGCAACTAATCATGCATGCACATGAAAGTCCCTTCTACCACTACACTCAGTTTCTCCACCCTTTTGCCATTAATTACCGTGGGAAAAAATATAGTCAGATACTTTTTGGGCAGACCTCATATGATTATTCCTCTAAAAATAGATGTTTTGTATTAAAAGCTATAACCTTTAAGAGAAGGGCCATTTAAATTTCGGTAATGGCAGCAGGCCGTAGTTAATTTAAATGCCCGCTATTGTAGAGATTTAAAAATTGTAAGCATGTTACTGAAAATGCTGTGATTTCTACAATTTTTGTGATGAACGAAATAAACACTGCTTTTATCTAGAAAGAATGTAGAATCAGATATTAATTTACCGATTTTAAAATCTGTAAAAATTGTTACAGTGATTCCAAAAAAAAAAATTTGTTGCCCAATTTCGAGCATCTGTCCACAAATTTGCATACAGTTTCTGCACAGAACGTGTCTGCAGTATAAATGCATGCTGCTGAGATACTGTCTTACTGTGTCTTATCAGGCAAAAGAGTGGAAGTTTATGTTTGTATCACACATTCTCCAGTCGGAACCTTTCTGTATGCATGAGTGTGGGTGAAGTCACCATATTTTGTCCTTCAGAAACCCTTGACTGTGTGTATCTCAGACTAGCGACACAGAGTTACTGTTCTAGGAATAGCCCCACACTGCCAGAACTTTCACGTCTAGCGCATTGTGTTGTGTAGATCGCATCACAGTTTCAACTCTCCACCATGGCCTCATTTCACTCGGAAGAAGTTGAAATTGAGAAGCATCTGATTAATGACACCGATTCAGACTGCGGTACAGACGACTCTGAGAGTGGCGAGGAAGGAACAGGCTCAGAAACCGAAGTCGACAAAGACCCGTCATCTTCGTCAGCAACCTGGGGACCACCAGCCCAGCATTTCAGGAGGGTTGTGAATAATTATTCCGGTGGAGCTGTGGGGTTAAATATCAATGAAGCTCCGCACGTAAATAAGGATTCCACCCCTTTCTGCGTTTTCATGCTCTACTTCGCAGGGATTATCCGTCTGCTGGTGGATGAGACAAACAGGTGCTACCACCAGTACCTAGACAAACTCCAAGACGCACCTTCTCCGCAGCCTGAAGTGACCGATTCCGAGATGTTTCAGTTTCTAGGAATAATCATTCAAATGGGACATGACATTAGAGACAGACTAAAGGACTACTGGTCGACTGCAGAACAATTTGCAACGCCTTTCTACTCTAACACAATGAAACTCGACCGTTTTCTACACATTCTTCGCTTTCTTCATTTTGCAGACAACAATACAAAAACTGACAGGAATGCTGACAGTTATGACCGACTATGGAAAATTCGGACCATCTTCGACACTCTCAATGACACATATGGAAAATATTATAACCCTTCCGAACATTTGGCCCTAGACGAGATAATTGTTAAATTCAAAGGGAGGGTGGTTTTTAGGCAGTACATTCCTAAGAAACACAAACGTGTCGGAATCAGAATCTTCAAAATTTGTGACGCCGCTGGGTATACATATGACATGAAGGTTTACGTAGCAAAAGACAGGACACGTGCTGACCAAGACGTGACAGCAACACATGCTACAGTTAGGGACCTATGCAGATGTATTGAGGGCGTAGGTCACAAACTGTACATGGACAGTTTCTTTTCATCACCAGACTTGTTTGACGAACTGATGACAAAGGACATAACGTGCTGTGGGACAGTCAGACCTAATCAGAAGGGCTTGCCTGATGATTTTCGACGAAGACAATTTCGACTGAAGAAAGGTGACATCCGTGTTAGGGTGAGACAGAACTTGACAGCACTAGTTTGGAAGGACAAATGTGACGTTTACATGCTGACAAACATGCACTGTCATCCAGCAGAAGGCAGTTTCTGTGATGAGCATGGAAATGCCATGAAGCCAGCAATTGTTGTTGACTACAACACACACATGGGTTATGTCGACAAAGCGGACAGAATGGCAAACAGTTATAGCATCAGTCGTCGATCTTGGAAATGGACAAATAAACTATTTTTCCATCTCCTGGATCTGACGATTCTGAACAGTTTCATCCTGTTGTCATCCTGTGGCGTGAAATTGTCACACAGAGAATTTCGTCTCGCCCTTGTGCGGAATATGCTGGAGCATGCTGGAAGGGGTCCACCTCGCCCTCAATGGTTCATGGGTCGACCTGCTGTGTCATCGGCGATATCTCGATTAGAGGAGGCCAAACAACATCACTGGCCGACTTCCTCCACTTCGAAATTGAGGTGTCGTGTGTGCTCTTCGCGTGGAAAACGAAGAACCGTCCGGACAAAGTGCGTGAAGTGCGATGTTGGACTCTGCATTTCCGGATGTTTCAAAGAATTCCACACGAAGGCAACATTCCGTTAGATGACGCAGTTGGGAAGACAGTCAACTTATAAAGCTGGTGTCCAAAAATAATGTAAGTAGAACAAGAATTTCTATTTTAAAATTAGATTTTAAAACACTGCGCGCACCCATACGGTGTCGCAGGCCACTTGGCTATACTTTAAAGTCTCCATACGGTGTTGCTAGGCTCTTAAAAGATAATTATCACATAATTAGTAGTACCCCAAAATTCATAACCCACCAACCAATCATATCCACTATTCACACACTTCTTCCTGAAACTAATGTGTACATTCCTTGTTTCAGAAAACAAGGGGGTGGAAGAATTGAAATACTTTGTACAGAAAGAAATTGAAAATTATTGAAGACTGAAATATAGTTTCAAGGTAAGTATGAATTACTATTGATCCACGTATTCTTGACCTCTGCACTAGTTGGAGGTCAGTGGTCAGCTTCAACCTCTGGCTGCTTTACCCCTGGGGAAAGAGCTCCTGGTGAATATGCATAAAGCTTAACAATTTTTAAAACGCACAAAAAAGTCTTATTTCACAAAATTCCCTGTATATTCTCTGTGTTGCTATAAAACATAATTTACCGAGTTTAGCATTCAGTTGTAGAGCACAACAACCTTCTTCTTCTCAAAACTGGATTAACCCTCTCTCGCTTAATTTCATATTTTTAACGAAAATTTTACCAGCTCCTCGAGTTAACTTCAGTCTGCAAAAGCTACTTCCTAATGTATAATTGTTTAAAGTGACCTGCAAGGTAACCAGTATTTTAAAATGGTTTGCAGTTAAGCAAAGGTTATGTGGTGAGTGGACAATATAAATGACATTAAAAATTCTTCAGTTATTAAAAGAAGTCCTTTAATATTTCAATCGTATAACTAACTATGGAGCTGAGCCCTTCTTGAGAAGCCACCATTTGCACAGGTACTCAAGAACTTCCCAGCAATTTATGGAGCCTGGAGATTGATTACTGTGTTCACAAGTCCTCCACTGGTCCATATCCTGAGCTAGATCAGTCCAGTCCTGTCTCTCTAAGATCCATTTTAATGTCATCCTCCCACCAACATCAAGGTGTTCCCAGTGGTCTCTTTCCTTCTGGCTTTCTAACCAAGATTCTACATGCATTCCTCTTCTTCTGCATGTGTACCATATGACCTGCCCATTTAATCCTCCTTGACTTGATCATTCTAAGAGAACAAGTTATGAACCTCCTAATTATGCAGTTTTTTCCAACCTTCTATCATTTCATCCCTCTTCAGTCCAAATATTCTCCTGAGTACCATGTTCTCAGACACCCTAAGCCTGTGTTCCTCCCTTGATGTCAGAGACCAACTTTCACACCCATATAAAACCAGAGGCAAAATTATAGTTTTTCATGTGTGAATTTTTATGTCTTAGACAGCAAACAAGTTGACGAAACGGTCTGGACTGAATGGTAGTAAACATGACTTGAATTCACTCTTCTCTTAATCTTTTCCTGAATGAAATTTTGATTTGTTCCTGTCATTCTCAAATATATGAACAGTACCACATTTTCAGAGCATCTGTTAGCCATCCTCTTTATCTCATGATGTCCTGCATTCTGCTGGCAAGACATCAATATATACATAGTTTTCTCTGTGTTTACTTCTAGACCAAACTCCTTACTAGCATCCGTTATAACTTCTGTGTTTTTCTTTATGTTATCTGTGTCATCTTCCAGCAGTTTTGTGTCATTAGTACATACCAGCAGCTGATGTGTCCCATATAATTCCAGTTCCATCTGTTTTTCATGGCGGGGGCACGCAGTAGCGTAGTTGGTTGAGGCACTATGCTGCAAACCTGAAGGTCACGGTTTCAAGTCCCGATGAGGTCATTGGATATTTTTCCCAATTGACCTAATCCTTCCAGCTGCACTATGGCCCTGGGGTTGACTCAGCCTCTAAGATAAATGAGTACCAGGAATATTCTTGAAATATTCTTGGGGGTAAAGGGCGCCCGGCGCGTAAGGCTGACAACCTTGTCACCATCTATGAGCCAATTGTCTAGAAAATGTGGGAACCTCAGCATCTCACAACCCTATGGGCCTCCACTGCCTGTTACAGGGATACCTTTACTTTTACTTTACTGGTTGTCCTGGACTTTTTTAATGGTATATTCTAAAGCAAAATTTAAAAGTAGTGGTGATAAAACATCTTGTTTTGTTTCTCTAAGCTTCTACACAAATGTAAAGTTATCCCTGTACTTAATTAGTACCACACAAGTAAGATGTATTGTGAAGGAAAAGTACAGCTGCATTCTTTCTTATCTTTGGTATTAGTTGGAGGTGTGTGGTCATCTTCATGCCATGACTACTTTACCTCTGGAGAAAAGCTCCAAATTCGATTGGAAAGGTGGCTTGTTTCTACCCAGAATCGGTCCAGACGCAAATGGGGAGAGAAAATCACTACCCTTGTCAGGGTCCATAAATATCTGAATTACATTTTTTATGTATTCAGAAATTCCGGTTATGATAACTGCTTTGTTGTCCCCCCAAACCAAACCCTTAAATTGAACCACTTATAAAGACCTTTCTTTGCATCTCACTGTTGAGGATCAAATTTGGGATTGAAAATTTAAGTCATTACCTAGATGCCTGGAGACTTGCGAAAAGTGTTTTGCAGTGAAAGAGCAAAGATGACAACACATGGACACGCAATGAGGTTAAGAATGCGATAATCAGCATTCATGCGTAATACCGTGTGCAAGACGCGCCGCTAACTAGGCCACTGGAGGTGGTCATATGAGCAAATACACAGCGACAAGACGCAAGAGGTCCACCCCCAGCCACATAGAATACCCAATGAAAGCCTAACTTTAGGAAATTGGAACACAAGGGAGGAGCTATCTACCCCCTTGTCGTCCACGCTGAATCAGCGAATTAAGACTATAAATGAGGGAAAGTCAAGAGACTTGGAAATCTGATTTTAAACAGAATAGAGAGTTGTCAGCCGTAGGCTCTCTTCGACATGGGTCAGACTAGCGGAGGCAGTGGGCCGACATCTTGTACTTCAGGTGGGTCTGTTTACGCATATTAGCCATGCCGATTGATAATCTGTTGTTTGATAGTAATGGTGATAACAGTGTGGTTGAGTTATTTTAATGGGCAAACTCCAGTGTACCCAGTGAGCCCGTAGGGTAGGATACCAGGAAAGTGTAGAAGCCTAGGATATTAGTCAGGCAATGAGTGACTTATATGTCGGTGTCAAGGTTACATATAGTGAGTTGTAATAAGACAGGTACAGGGAAATTATGTATTCTCGAGGGGGACATGCATGTCCTCGTTAGTAAGTCCGATAGAGAGAGAGAGAGAGAGAGGCGAAGCCTCCACCCCTGAAGGGGGAGAACTTGAAGAAAAGAGAGCATGTAGTCCAGACAGAAGGACAGTCCTTGTTAACAGTGTAAATAGTGTATATCATGTAAATATCAGAGTGTAAATAGATAGAATAGATAGAGTAGGATGAACCGGGGATTGTGATTCACCCTCCACAACCACCTTCCTCGAACCATCCAGAAGGTCCTACCACAATGAGAGTTGCAACAGCAGCCGAAGGCCTAAGGAGAGGCGTTAGGAATAGACAGGGATAGGCTCCTGCCACACAGGCAGAGTTTGGTAGCCTTAATAGCAACGCCCTTTTAAGATGTATTAATAAAGAATTAAGTCGCTACCTGTAAACCATATGCGGAGTGGTCAAGAAGGGGTATGACTACATGCCAGGGAGTAGTACCAACAATTGAAAGAACAGAAAATAGATGGTGGCAGCCTGTATGACAGAAGGAAACTCCGATATAGGAGAATCCTAGCTAAGTGTAAGCTAGGATGGTTGCGTTAACGCCTTACAGTATAACCAGTGGAGGCCAGGAGGGGTACCTGCACACCCCCGACGGCGCGACGTTACCAGGAGTACCAGTTTACGACATAACTAGTGGAGGCGAGGAAGGATACCTCCACGGCCCCTACATGCGGAGTTACAGTGGTGACAGAGGCGGGCTGACTCCACGCCCCCCTGTACCACGGCATTACAGCGGCGGCAGCAGCGGGAGGGATACCTCCATGTCCCCCCTGCGCCGCTAGGGCATTACACTCACATTAGCCTTAGTTGTCATTACTATTTGAATTATAGTTACATTCTTCACCAGTGTTCTCACTAGGACAGGCACACAGTAAGCACAGAGTATCTCTTTGGTCAAGAAAATTGAAATTGAAACTGAATGTGATGTGCTTTACTTGTTTCTAAAAAAAAAAAGAAGAAAAGTGTTAAATGACATATCACCATGGGAAAGTTAGATTGAAATAATTTTTATTATCTAGGCCATACATTCCTACAACCTTCAGTATTAGGAATGATGTAGAAACAATGGGAGGTGTCATAAAGTTCCACTGCTGGAAACAAAATCTGCCTCACACCACAAGAATTGTGACTGCTATGCAGTGATTAAGTATCAAGTAGCCTCAACACTTGAAGCACCTAAATCTGTTTCTCATAAATTGGTGCTGTCCCCTCACCAGCACATCATTCTTCGTTCCAAGTCCCACAGGACTCATTACTCTGGGTGTCCTACAACTGTCTCTCTCTCCCTCTCCTCCTGCTGTGATAGACAAATTCTATATATACACTATACTGTGCTGTGTAGTTGGACCCTGTGGTACCAGGTACTGGGGCCAGGATAGCTTGGCCAGTGTAATGATTGGGCTATTAGTTGCATGCCCAGAGAATTGATGTTTGATTCCTGGTAGGTACCAAGATTTTCCTCTGCTGCCATGTCTAGATCAACTCTGGGGCTCACTGGGGTTTCATTTCCCTGTGGTAAATTGGCCATGACATGAAGGTGCTCACTCACCTACATCTATAGTCTGTTCGCGGAGACGAGAGAGTCCTCGTGAACAAATGCACACGGTATCTCCTTCGCTCTCTGAATGAAATCGTGCAGCGATCATGTGATGCGTGTCCCGTTGCAGGGGTGTCCAAAGTTCACTCTTCAGTCTGAATGCAGGTTAACGTGCGTCCAAATGCAGTGAGTACACTGAAGTAACTGCGCGCTTTGTCCACTCCTTGCTGTCAGCTGTGGCGACGTGGGGTTTGCTTTGTTATGCTAACTGTCTCGTCTCCGCGAATGGACTATAGTTTCCAAGGTTAAGAAAGAATGGAGCTGTCTCTCCACTCCCAAATGCATATGCATGGATAATCAGAGAGGTAAATTTGGTAATTTTTACCCTCACTTTGTACTACTCTGATTGTGTTAAAACACCTGGACAAGGACATAAACATTACAGTGAGTTCATAGGTGTGCTTTGTTTCAGTATATGGAACCAGCTGGGAGTCAGGGTGGAACTGAAGCTGCTGCAGGCAGTAGTCCTACCTTTCATCCAAGCCAATGAAACTGTGACAGATACCATGCATACCAGAGAGGCTCAGCAGTCTAGATGTGTTAGTGTTATGTGTACACCTGTTGAAGTGGTAGTTGTATTTCAGGAATGATTTGAGAAGTTCTTATGGAATTTGGTACCCTGAGTAAAAAAACTTCACCGTAATCCTCCTCATGTTCAGTTCCTCTGACAAAATTCGTTGACATGTACCATAACTTAGTCCCAAGGTGTTACAGAGGTCTTGGATGGTCAGTCTATGATCTTGCAGAATCAGATCCCTAACTTTTGCAATATTTTCTGGTTTGCTGCCAGTTGACGGCCGTCCCGAATGATCGTCATCATCAGTCGATGTTTGGCCATTTTTGAAATGCTTATACCAGTCGCAAGTTTGTGCCTGGCCTAAACTGTTGTCACCAAAAGCTTGCTTCAACATTTGGTGCATTTCTGCAATGGTTTTCCCAAGTTTAAAACAAAACCTTATACAGACACACTGCTCTCTCAGGTCAGCCATTGCAAAACTGCAAACTCACGGAAACACAACAATGGAAATACATTCACCAATAATAAACCCAACCACTCGTCTTGACGCCGCTTGCCACACTGACTCAAGAAGGGTGTGTGTGTGGGGAGACACCTAGCGGTATTTCGATGTACTTATAACCATTTGCCCGCAAAATTCAAATTTCGGGAACTTTCAGATTGTACCGTGTACAAGTGATTTTCCCATTAGCTTCTAAAAAGATGAACTGTTAGTTTACTAGTTGGTGTAACATGTACCATAACTACATCATGAGGTCTTCTGATTTTGATATACAGTAGAACTTGGTTATAACGTCATCAAAGGGACGTAAAAATAGTGTCGTTATAAACGAATGTCGTTGTAACCGAAATTGGACTTCCACAGTAGCCTTATGTTAGTCACATAAAAATCTACCAAAAACCAAGTTAAAATGTTACATTTTTTAGTGAAATACATAGTGAAGTACAGACTAACTTAACATTAACGTGGAATTGCCCAAATGTGTAATATCAAAGACATATTACAGCGCTTTTCACTGACAATACACACAATATTTCACGAATCACTTTAACTTTCTCTTCAGTGCTTAAAACTTTCCTTTTCATTGCCATGTTTTCACTACTGCACTTCTCTGGGTTTAGGCAGGAACACTATAGGGTAAGTAGACAATGTGAGGTCCTGTTAGACGAGATTCTAGGAAAGGAATGCAGTTAACAACCTGCCGCGTCCTCTTGCACTATTCACGCAGTCCCACCCCACACCCTTGTTTTCGCATAAAACCCACGCTTCTCTTGCAGCCCGCGGTCATATTCTTCCAGGACAGTCACGTCAGCAAGTAGGGAAAGTGGGGGTGGGCAGACACATCAAACTTTCCCACGATATCAGAGAAATTCAGGAATGAAAATGACGTTACATACGAGGTTGATGCATTTGTGCATGTCGTACTAAGCAAGGTATAAAAACAGTTGCTTTATGAGGAATTAGTTCGTACCATTGAATATTTGACGCAATAGACAAGGTGTCACAGAAACCGATGTTTCTATAACCAAGTTTTACTGTATATCTGTATGTGTGTGTGAAGATTTTTATCCGGAATGTTGTGCGAGCTGTGGCTGTATTTAATCCATTGTTATTAGTGCCTGAACTGCATACTAATGTCCCTTCAGTATTAATTCTCATTACTGATAAACACTGAAGTACTGGAATGCTGTTTAACCCTCTTACCTAAATGCTAGTAACAAACAAGGAAGATGCATCTTACCTGACAAGTCAAAATGGAACAAGACGTCCTTCCAGTAATGTTTAGTAGAAGTCTGACACATCTCCCATGCTAGATGTCTTCAGTATTTGTAAGAACTGGGTTACAGATATGCCTTGCATAGCCAAATTCAACTTTCTTGCCCCTGCCATCTATTTGAGACACAGAAAAGTTAACAGAAGATAATCACAGCAATACAGAAAGAAAATATGATGTTTGTGTTCCATACCATTCATGATATTGATAAAACAGACTGTTGTGAAATCACGTAAGGCAGGAAGCTGACAGTTCTCCTTCTCCTTCAGCGCTACACCCCTTTGTGAGCGTTGGCCTCCCTTATAACAGCCTCCCAATTATTCCTGTCTTGTGTCTTCTTCCACCAAGCTGTCACTTCTAAAATTCTTAGGTCATGCAATATATTATCCAGCCATCTTAATTTTGGTCTTCCTTTCTTTCTGCTGCTTACTAGCTGGGAGAAGGTTAATTTCTTGCAGAGCAAACTTTCATCCATCCTTCTGATATGCCGTAGCCACTTCAGTCTTGTTTATTTTTGACTGCACTATATTTAGTTCTTTGAATAATTTATATAATTCATCATTATATTTTATTCTCCATACTCCATTTACATAGCTTGGGCCATGGAATTTTTCTTTAAACATTTTCATTTTATCCTCATTCAAATTAGTGAGTGTTCAGCTCTCACTACCATAAAGTACAGCAGGTTTTATAAGGGTTATATACAAGGTGTGTCCCAAAAGTCATGAAATACATTTCTTTCCTGCGCTCCTACTGGTTGGGTTAGGAAGGGGAGGACTTTAGCTTCACAGCGCGCCCAAGGTCAGTCTGCTCGAGCATCGGAGGCGTCAGTATCGCTGATTTAGTGCACCTGTGTTTTGTGACCACGTCACGGCGCGCGATGGCGGATAATTTCGAACAACGTTGGGCAGTTAAGTTCTGCACAAAGCTCAACAAAAAAGCTGCCGAAACTCACGAACTGCTTAAGCAAGCCTACGGGGAGTGCCAGAGTGCTGAATGGTACACCTCACCTTCCCCGAAACCAAAGAAGGTGAAGATGGGCAAATCCAAAGTGAAAACAATGCTCATTGTCTTCTTCGATGCCAAGGGTGTGGTCCACAAAGAGTTTTTACCCCAAGGACAGACCATCAATGCTCCCTACTACGTGGATGTTCTAGAAAGATTAAGGAAAATGGTCATCGCGTGTGAAAAGATATCGCCGCTAACTGGCGGCTGCCTCATGACAGTGCGCCCAGCCACACGTCTCTCCTCATCCGTGAGTTCCTGGTGAAGCACCACGTGGCAACGCTGCCGCAGCCACCCTACAGCCCCGACCTAGCTCCGGCCACCTTCTTTTTGTTCCCGAGGATGAAGACTGCAATCAAAGGAAAGCATTCAGGCTATCCAAGCGGCCGTGACAACAGCTTTAAATGAGGTTCCCATCGAGGTCTTTGAGGGGGCGTACCGGCCATGGGAGAGTCGGTGGAAAAAATGTATAGATGCTCATGGACAGTACTTTGAAGAATATTAACACTTTGTACCGATATCATCAGTAAATTTAAAAAATATATATATATATATTTCATGACTTTTGGGACACACCTTGTATATTCTACATTTAGTATCTTTTCTTAGAAGTTTTGATTGTAGTAAATTCTGCATTCCATAATAACATTTATTTCCCATTGTTATTCTGTGATTAATTTCCACATCAGTGTTGTTATCACAGGTGACTGTGGACCCAAGATATTGAAATTCTCTTACTTTTTATTGTCTATTATGTTATGCTTCTCTTTGGTTTTATTACTGCTAACTTCCATAAATTTAGTTTTATCTTCATTAATGTTTAAACCCAATTTGTAATGCTGCTTTCTTGACCTTTGTGTGTGCTTCTTTGACTATTCTTTCATCATCATCATCATCAGTAGGGCCCGGTTTTCTATGACATGTCATATTTTTTTCCTAGAGTGTATTCCTATTTTTAAATGTCATTATGCATGTTTCCAGTCATTCTTATTGAAATTATGTCGTTTTTATTGTGCATATAAATGCATATTTTAGAGTTTTATTGGTTTTACAGCATATTTTGGCATAATTTTGAAATAAGGTCATATTTTTGTCATTTTAGAAACAATTCTTTGATATAATGTAAAATTTCGGCTCCATAATGTT